TTACACTACAACTGTCTTAGAGGTAAATCATTACACTAAAGCTGTCTTAGAGGTAAATCATTACACTAAAGCTGTCTTAGAGGTACATCATTACACTAAAGCTATCTTACAGGTACATCATTACACTTAAGCTGTCTTAGAGGTACATCATTACACTAAAGCTGTCTTAGAGGTAAATCATTACACTAAAGCTATCTTACAGGTAAATCATTACACTAAAGCTGTCTTAGAGGTAAATCATTACACTATATGATTTGTTCGAAGGTGTAAACAAAAATGATAACAAAATAAAAGCACCAACAATTACCGTAAAGCGCTTTTTGCCTTACGATCTGAATGTAAGCACATTCATTTAAACATCAAAACTATGCTACACCTCTTTGACACATATGTGAGTAGTGTATTATATTATGGCTGTGAAATATGGGGTAGTTATAAAGGAGTTGAAATAGAAAGGGTTCATATGGAATTTTGTAAAAATATACTGTGTGTTAAAAAATCTACGTGCAATGCTATGGTATATCTTGAGCTTGGACGACTTCCTCTGGCAAACAAGCAGGTGCTTCGAATGTTTAAATATTGGTTTAAGTTGTTAAATTGTGAAAATTGTATACTAAAAGAAGCATATCAGTTTTTATTGAAAGAAACTTGGAGGGAAAACCCGAAACGAAATTGGATATTATTCATGAAGCATAGATTATTTGAACTAGGGTTTGGATATATATATATATGGTTAAGGCAGGCAGCTACCGACATCTGTCTACTACCTATTATTAAACAGCGCATAGATGATCAGGCAAAACAAACTTTTTTTAACTCGTTGGCAATCTCAAGTAAATGTGATCTCTATAGCAATATGGTAGATACCTTGATGTTGCAATATTATTTAACAAAGTTTATACCAAAACAACGTCGAAGTATGATTACCAAATTACGTATGTCAGCTCACAATCTTGCAATAAAAACGGGAAGGTACAGGACTATTGCAAGAAATAATAGATATTGCAGTAACTGTGACCTAATAGAGATAGAAGATGAATTTTCATTTTCTCTTTACCTGCCCACGTCATCTAGATCAAAGGAGAAAATATATTAAAAATTAATACTAGCAAAAACCATCTGTATTCAAACTTATCGAATTAGTAAATACACACAATGTAAAAGAACTGAATTTGTTAGGTAAATTTATTATTGAAGCTAACAAACGAAGAATTGTTTAACTTATAATTTTGTTTTATCTAATTTTGTATTACTCAATCGTATCATGTCCATGTTTTTTGTTCGTACAATCTTTCATGTTTAAGATGGTAAATACTCAATGTTGTTGTATTAATATTTGATGATGATAAAGATTTATAAGGCAATGATGATGATGATGATGATGATGATGATGATGATGATGATGATGATACAGATGTTATGATGATGATGATGATGATGATGATGATGATGATGATGATGATGATGATGATGATGATGATGATGATGATGATGATGATGATGACGACGACGACGATGATGATAATAATGATGAAAGTGATGACAATAATGATTTCGATGATGTTGCTGTTGCTGCTGATTTGTGATCAATGTGCCAGTTATTTTTTTTTGTAATTGTTTATTTTTCGACGATTTTTTCATAATACATATAATCATGAAAAGAAACACACACACACACGCACACACACACACACAAACTTACAGAGCATATATGCTAGCACGAGATAACTTCTTATACAACCATCATATTCTGCATATTTATTTATTAAAACATTTCCTCATTCTCCTACCCCTAGATGATATGCGCTAAGAAGAATAGTTCAAACTTCCAAGCCTAGCATAGTATATGTATCACTCTTCACCAACACACACACACACACACACACACACTTATCACAATGTGTACATGATCATTTGAGCACTGATATATCTACATTGTGGACACTAATACATGTTTCTGCACTGTTTACATGTTCGATAGTAGCTATTTAATTGTACATACATGAATATGTACAATATATAAACACACATGCATACACATAAGACTTGTATGCAGTCAGCTGTCTACATATATTGACTTATTATACAACCATCACATTCTGCATATTTATTTATTAAAACATTTCCTCATTCTCCTACCCCTAGATGATATGCGCTAAGAAGAATAGTTCAAACTTCCAAGCCTAGCATAGTATATGTATCACTGTTCACCAACACACACACACACTTATCACAATGTGTACATGATCATTTGAGCACTGATATATCTACATTGTGGACACTAATACGTGTTTCTGCACTGTATACATGTTCGATAGTAGCTATTTAATTGTACATACATGAATATGTACAATATATAAACACACATGCATACACATAAGACTTGTATGCAGTCAGCTGTCTACATATATTGACTCTCATATGCCTCATACCTAGCTGTATCTATATAATTCATCTTTTACACACCCATACATACACACACACACACACAAACACACCATCCACCACACAACACACCATAACAAACTCTCAGACACCTATCCATTACACAGGTTAATATACACATCACTCTCTTACTTTAGAACCATAAATAATAGTATACATATGTTGTGTACATCAAACCTACTATACTTATATAAGAGTAAAATCAGTAGTATAAGTTTAGAGAGAGAGAGAAGGAGAGAGAGGGAGAGAGAAAAGAGAGAGAAGAGAGAGAGAGAGGAGAGAGATAGGGGAGGCAATCTTACATGTAAAAATTGTAATTTTTCCGGAAGTACGTCACGAAAATGGACGCTGATGACGATGTGTGGAGCCACCTTAATCAGAAACTGCTGAGGCTTTGGATATATACCGTATACAAAAATAAATTAAAACACAGGAAATCTATAATAGGTTTCCATTTTCTCCAACCTGTTTCAAATTTCATTTTGACGTGCTCACTTTTACTGTTATTAATATAGTTTTGGACAATGAAATGATCTTTAATAACATTAATTAGTGCATTGAGATTTAAAGATTTGCAGAGACATCTAGTCTTGTATATATAATGTTTGATAAGAATTAAAATTTCATTATCAAAAAATCTGGAAAGGTGTGAAACTATTCCAAAAAGGAAGGATTCCTGATTAAATGAAAACGGGATAAAAAATAGATCCAGCAGAGTTTCAAATCTCTACAGTAATTTCTGCACTTCTCGACATTCCCAAAGACAATGAATTATTGTTTCATGTTCTTTATTACACAAAGTATGATGATGAAGATTTATAAGGCAATGATAATGATGATGATGATGATGATGATGATGATATAGATGTTATGATGATGATGATGATGATGATGATGATATAGATATAGATGTTATGATGATGATGACGACGACGACGACGACGACGACGATAATAATGCTGAAAGCGATGACAATAATGATTTCGATGATGTTGCTGTTGCTGCTGATTTGTGATCAATGTGCCAGTAATATGAAATTATTTGTTAATCCTCCAAGTTGTAAAACTTACGGAAATAAATTGAATTGAATTAAATACTGTCAGTGTAATATAACAGTGTCATGTAACTGACTTGCCTTGTTATTGTGCAAAAGCATCTTAAACTGTTTGAAGTACAGCCAGCCTGTGTGTTCATTCTCCTCTGTCAGCTCGGAGTATTTCGTCTCCGCATCGTATCCAAACGAGTGGAATTTCTTGTCTGGGGAAAGAAGCAAGGAAGACGGAGTTTTTTGTGACATTAATTTTCCACTGCCAATCCAAGCGTTTGTGTTGATCTTCAATGGCTCCCGTTCGTGGTCATGTCGCATCTGGAAGGCGTACCCGGAATAGGTGGTGCCAAAGTCAAGAGCAGCAATTATAATCGGGGAAAAGTCCATCGTCTACTGTAACATGACAAGTATCAGCATGTATTGCTCTAAAGGGACTATTCATTATTCCACGCAGCTAACATTGATGAATAAAGATTTGTTGATATTATTTTGAATTAAAATAATCAATTTTCTTCATGATTTGTTATGTGTAGCAGACAAAAGATAAAACGTGTATAGGATGACAATTTTGATATGCTTAAAAAAAATCTTTTCACGGACAGGGGGTTGTCACGTGCGCCGGGTACACCCCCTGGATCCGCCACCTTACATTGTATATAATAATCACTATACCTGGAGTTTAATCATTTTATGTGTATTATACAGAAATAAATGTAACAAAGCTAGACAACTTTTCACTCGTGACTTTCCAAGAACTCACCTGATGATAAATACCCAGGTGGAGTGACAAGAGGGATAAGGGAGGATATCACGGCTAAATGCATTTGGCCATCAAATTCCAACAGCCTTTGTCTTAAGGAATTATAGTCGTTTCGCCCCAAACCCGTTACGCCTCAGACCATTTCGCCCCTACTTTTTCACGTCGCTCATTTCGCCCCAAATATGACAACCATATCGCCCCAAAATCCGTTTTATCGCCTTATCGCCCCAAAATTCTTTATCATCCCAACCACTACGAACCTGTATTGAACGATATCTGATCTTGTGAAAGTGGCGGTAGTTATTACAAGTTTCACTTAAATATTAATTATTAGGAACACGGGATTCATCATTTGATAGCAAAAATACTGTTTTTACCCTAAATATATTGAGATATCAGAATGAATGTCAGCTATTTCAAATTTTCCACGATGAAGAACGAAAATGATAAAGTTGGTTTGAAATGTAGAATCCCAGAATTATATTAGATGCTATATAAGTCCATGGAAGAATGTAACATAGCAGGACACGGTATAAATTGATTTTTTATAGTTATTTCTTTTAATTAGTTAAAAAAATACTTATGCTGGAAAGGAAAAAGATCTATATACATATAGACATAAACAAATATTAGTACACATTCTCTCTCTTGCAACACACATAAAAAAAATGTTTCCGATCTACGGCACGCGTGTATAATTTATCCATAAAATCTAATTATTTCAAAAATAGATATATTATCTAAAATAAACAAATCCTGCCTAACATAGATTCTATAGATATGTTACAATATCGATCTACGGCACACGTGTATATAATCTAATTATTTTATGCATCTATATATTATCTAAATTAAACAAATCCTCATAACATAGATCCTATAGATATGATACAATAGAGATCTAACGTTACGACACAAAAATCATGTCCCAAACATCAAACGAATTGCAACAGATATTAGTTTTTAATGTCTATCTATATATTACATAAAAAGTAGATATTTTATTTTAAAATTTGTCGAATAAGTTAATTTTATGGAGGACTTTTTTGGGGCGAAATAGTTGGGGCGTTATGTATTTTTGGGGCGAACTGATTGGGGCGATATGAATCAAATTTGGGGCGTAACAGCTTGGGGGCGTTACGGTTTTGGGGCGAATCGTCTGACACCCAAATCAAGTCTACCCGATAATTACATATAATGCCATTAATTTATAACTTTCTCTACAATGTCAGTCTTCGCCTGGTAAACCTTAATTATATTGGTTTCCCTGTTTATAAGGGTTGGAGGTAATCTTTCTGGGACCAAATCATTATCATACCGAAATATGACATAATGAGTGATAATGTAACTCAACAATGCTACAGATCTTTATACAGGGTATATCTAGTACGACGTTATCTTACCTTAGTATAGCGCACCTGTACACCGAATTTATCACATCACCTTCATCTTAATTACGACTTACAGATGCACATACACAGTAACACCTGTTACAAAGCGAAACTAATTTCTGTATTACATATATTACATCCTCGTTGGAGCTCTACACTGTACGTGTGTGCAGGGTACATGTAAGCTGTATACGGATGTGTTGTGACCTACTTATGCATACACCACGACGAGACCAGACAAAACCACAAAATGAAACTACATTAGACAAAGCAGTTAGTTGATTAACGGAATAATGAGGCACATTATAATGTTGGTTTCGAGTCTGTCTAAAACCGGCACGTTCGAATAGCGAAAGGTCTTATCTTCTGGTTATTATTTGCAAGTACGAGACAAATATGTGTGTTCTTCGCGAAGAACTCCTCACCGACTTCTCTGATAGAAGGTTTTGAACCCCCAGTGGATTTTATTGCAAAAGTTTATTATTAATATTATCTGACCATTAATATCAACATCGGGTTTAAAGTCAGAGTAATGCATTGTTAGATTGTTTACAGAAATAATTATAACAAGATAAGAGAAAACAATACCCCATATATACGACTATGTCTCGTGAGTGTAATAACAAGATTAAATACAGTGTAAGTACGTTATAAACTAAATAAAATACAATATACTGTAACAGCTGAGGAATGTGGGGGGGGGGGGGGGGGAAATCCAGTGATGAGGTATAACACGGGGACCCACTCAATAGTCTACAGTCAAGAGTCAACAAGCTTTATTTACCGTCGCATATACATGTAACATAATAACATTAGCACTGTCTTCTTGCGACAAAACATATATAAATTTAACAAGGATCACAGTACTTATGGATATATAATAATAATAATAAAATGTATTCAGGTAAAATAGGCATGTAATTACAAGATATCACAATTTAGAATAAAACATATAATTAAGATCACAATGCAGCTTGTAAATACAAAAGAATATTTTGTATTAAGACTGAGAATTATAATAGAATTCTCATAATTAAAGTTTTCTTAATTCAATCCTTGACATATATCCGAGTATAAAAATATAAAAAAAGTCTAATACACTGTACAAAATAGGCAGATATTACTATAAAATGAGACAGACTATTTTTAGTATATAAAGGTAGATATAAATAGGTCGCATAATAGGAGTGGTGTGTGCCATTTACCTAGGATTACCCATGAAAGCCACAAAGTGCCTTATTTCCAATGGGATCCTTTAAAAATGGAAGAAAATAAAAGCAAAAATTAGAAACAAATAAGAAAATCACTCCGGTAACGGTCCAGATAGCACAGAGCAGTATATATGGAAAACAATACAACATACATAATGATTATTATTGATAGTGGCAGGCAGCTTCTTATAGTAGCAAACTATAAAATATTGTTACATAGTTATTTACTGATAGGGCATGAACAAAATTGAAATTTGAAATGATTGTGCAATGCCGTAAGTCAAGCTTTCAAGGGTTTGGGGTAATACATGTGTGCTCAATAGTAGACAAAGATATCAACTTCATTTTTTGCTTTGAAGCACAAGGTGTTTTTTAGCATTGGTTTTGAATTTATGTTTGTTTTTGATATTTTTGATATGATCCGGTAAAGAGTTCCAATCTTTAGCAGCCGAAAAGAAAAAAGGGTGCTTCTGTACCCTTGACGTTTTTAATAGCGAAATTTGAATTTCCGAATCTGTAGTACCGTATGTGTTATTGTTTTTGGTGAAGAATTCATGCATATACTGAGGGCATATCTCATTAAAGATGTTAAATGCATGATTTAAACGAAGTTGACGAACTCTTCCCTCTACATTGAGCATACTAATTTTTGTAGTTCAGTAAAGGTAATTATTGTCCTGTTATTTAAGTTAAGATTTTTTTTTATGTAATTTAGAAAGACCGTCAAGTAGTAAGGGTTTTAGGTCAGGGTCATTGAGTGCAGTCTCCTATATAATCCCTACCAACTCCCTGGCACCCCACTAGTGGCACCCCCCTTCGGCAGGAGGGTACCGATCGATGACGTCACAGGGGGGGGGGGGGGTGTTCTCATGTATTTGGGGTTTTCCTAAATGCATCTGTTTGTAGCGACCGCCTATATACGAGGGGGGGAGATACCGATCGATGATGTCATAGGGGTTTCTCATGTATTTTGGTTTTTCCTGACTGCATCTATTTGTAGCGGTCCGATTGCATCACGTTTAGAAATAGTCAAACCGGTTCCAACCGGTTATGAATACAGCATATACCGGCTGCTTCATAATGTCTGTATAGGATGGTTGCTGCTACTGCTGCTGTAGTTGTTGTTAAGTAGCTCATCCTGGCGGCGGCGGCGATTGTTGAAGCAACACAACTACCACCACCATCCCCGCCGCCGCCGCCGCCGCCGCCAGGATGAGCTACTTGACAATAACTACAGCAGCAGCAGCAGCAGCAGCAGCAACCATCCTATACAGACATTATGAAGCAGCCGGTATATGCTGTATTTACCCAGCAGCAGCAGCATGTGTAACAGTACTNGTAAACGGGAGCGATGTGAAGATATAATTTTAATTAGATTGTAACAGTTCTCGATATCTATATAAGAATAACAACTTTTAATTTCCATGATTCATGAAAGTAGGATGGGGAATACGGTATGTCTTTCTCGGTGTTGTATTCATAACCGGTTGAACCGGTTTGACTTTTTCTAAACGTGATGCAATCGGACCGCTACAAATAAATGCAGTCAGGAAAAACCAAAATACATGAGAAACCCCTATGACATCATCGATCGGTACCCCCCTCGTATATAGGTTGTCGCTAAAAATAGATGCAGTCAGGAAAAACCCAAATACACGAGAACCTCCCCCCCCCCTTCCCTGTAACGTCATCGATCGGTACCCCACTGCCGAAGGGGGTGGGGGTCACTAGGGGGTTATTGGCTGCACTCAATATGGGAACCCTCTGTGACGTCGATTGGTACCCCCATACCAGAGGGGGTGCCACTAGGGGGGTACCGGGGGGTACTATAAGATTATATAGGAGACTACATGTACTACTCTTCGTTTTGAAGAAAGGGATAACTTTTGCAGTTTTAAGATCGTCAGGTACTATACCCTCAGATATGGATAAATTTATTAGAAAGGTGATAGGAATTTTGATTATTGGTGCCGCATCCCGCAAGAATCTAGCAGGAATTTGATCTAAACCTGTACTTTTACAAATATTCAAATTGCATAACTCCCTGTACACAAACTCTTCCGAGACATGATGAAGATGAAATTTAATCCCTTTCGGGTTTCTTTTAGTATAACATCCCTAAACAACTTTGATGTATAATGATACAAGCCTTTATACAATGGAAGTTTTTCAATCAATTTAGAACAATAGTAAAATATTTGTAAAAATGGTTGGCTACTGTAATGTCATCATGACAGTTTACACTGGTTACTGTAGTGTCATCATGACAGTTTACACTGTCTACTGTAATGTCATCATTAACATCCCTAAACAACTTTGATGTATAATGATACAAGCCTTTATACAATGGAAGTTTTTCAATCAATTTAGAACAATAGGAAAATATTTGTAAAAATGGTTGGCTACTGTAATGTCATCGTGACAGTTTACACTGGTTANCAAAAAGATATGAATTTTCATATCTTTTTGTACCACGGTACACTTTCATATGGTACACAAAGATATGAAAATTCAAATCTTTGTGTACCATGTAAAAGTGTACCATGGTACATAAAGATTATAAACAACTTTACAAAAAAAATCTTTACTTTCAAAAACATACGTACCAACAGCCGATATCAGCCGGCAAAATGATTTGAATTTGCATATCTTTCTGTGCCGTGGTACACTTTTACCCGGTACAAAAAGATATGAAAGCTTCTCTCCTTTAGTAACGCGTTACACTTTTTTCATTTCTTTTTGTACCACCTACGGTACAAATAGATATGAAAAAAGTGTACCATGAAATCACGCGTTACACTTTTTTTCATATCTTTCTCTACCGTGGTACACTTTTTCCCGGTACAAAAAGATGTGAAAGCTTCTCTCCTTTTAGTACCGCGTTATACTTTTTTCATTTCTTTTTGTACCACCTACGGTTCACCACTGCTGATGAAAACAGAGTTAGTTGCAATTGTGTAAGTATTGTGGCCTTGACAGGGTCTCCAACAGGGAAAAAGAACATCTGTATATTTTTGTCATTACCCTTGTTTTGATAGATGTCCAGATTATAAAAGAATCGTACAACTAGCTCATCGTATTTCCCTCCAAAAAATATAAAAGGGTAGACTATTTATCCTTCGAAGTAATTAAATTGATTGTCCCCCTTTGTCCCCTTGTCCCATACGGACCCCGTCGGCGTTTTCAACTGATTTGGAGTTTCTTTCACATTCGAAATGTAAGTATTAGAAAAATAATCCATAACGCAAAACTTTTATAAAATTCGGTAAAGGATATTGAACAGTTAATTTCAATTAAAATGAGTAAGTAATAGTTTGGTAGCTCATTTGGTGTAATCAAAATAACAGACATTCTGTGCGATAACATTTCATTGTATGTGATGACAGCCTTATCGGGGTGTAATTTGTCATACTTGGTAACCTTTACGTCTGATTGTTTCACATGTTTCTGTACCACGGCTGTTTTCGGCCGTTATTTTGGTACAGAAAGATACAAAAGCAACGGGTTGATTGTATTTCTGCTTTCATATCTTTGTGTACCATGATACACTTTTACATGGTACACAAAGATTTGAATTTGAATATCTTTGTGTACCATGTAAACGTGTACCATGGTACAAAAAGATATGAAAATTCATATCTTTTTGTCAGGCTCTTGTCGGCCATCGTACCTTTCATATCCAAGGCCCTTACAGTGTTTCCACAGGTTTTTAGAATTGCCTTTATTTTCTTCGATTTTATTTAATTGCTTTTAGCTTTTTGAACAAGTTTTTGAAGTTTATTTCTGAGCTGGCAAAATTCTTTATGTATATCAGGATTGTGACTCCTCTTGAAATGTTAAGTTTATCATCCCTTTCAGATATGAGGTCAAGTATTTCAGAGGTCATCCAGGGTTCAGTGCGTTGTTTTAGGCGAATTTCTTTTATGGGAACCACATGGTCTAAAGCATCTGTAAA